AAATTAGTCTCAAATGTATACAAAAATGTGATTGTATTGGTTTTTATTTTTGTTTAGTGTATTCATTTCCCCTTAATGAAAACCGTCTCCAACCATTATTAGTCTCAAAGTGGGTTCCTCGTCATCGAATTTGAAATCAGGTATAAGTTCATCTTAAAAAATGATAAACATAGCTGCCATTTTAGTAATCAAATCTCATACACCATGACCTAAACAGAGTTGATATTAATTGTGATAATTAGCAATAATAAATTTTAAAGGTATTAACATACCAGAACCTTACAAAAAAGTCGTGATAATGAAGACATTATTAACTATTATTGTTGTAAAAATAAAATAATCTTGATAAAGAAGACATTGTTGTAAAAAAATAAAAACCACGGTAATGACGTTACTGTAAAACAAGTCGTAATAATGAAGGCATTATTATTATTGTTATAAACTAACGAAAAATATCAGAAATACTGTTAATAAAAAACAATAAAATATAAAGTTAATTGTCTGAATACAACATTCAATACATACAAGTAAGTAGCGAGCTGATGGACACCCTGCACGTCCTTCATACTATCAAACCTGAGATCAGCAATCTGACTGGAACAAGGACTAGAAGGGAATTCAACAGTGGGACTACTGAAATCTCACTGACGATTTTCCTGTTTTATAACCCTTTACCACCGCCTTTCATCATACGTCATAGAAATATCTTTCAACCACGATTCGCTCCACGTTTTGGGAAAAGCCTTGACAGGTAAGCCTGGCGGGTTAACGCTCGTGGCACAATATTTACGTAAAACACGTGACGTATATAACTAACGTCCACTCTGACCTTCGGATAAAATGATAGCCAACTTACGACAGTCAATACTTGAACGGTAAATATGCGCAAATGGGATCATTCGGTGATCTGACGTGGTTGAAATTACTGTGATTCAGATATTATGGGATTGATTAACTAATTCATAAAGTGGGTGTAAAAGAAGTTTTTGCTATGTCAAGAACAAGGTCACGGTCAAAACGTATCAAATAAATAAGCGAGATGTTACAATATTTTTTCTATTTTATATGTATTTACTAGGATGGGGTTTGTCATTTTTAAAACAAATTTATCTACTTTTTTATTTATCGCCCTCTTGCGTAAAAAAAAAAAAAAAAGCTGCGTGCGATGATGAAACCAATTAGTGTTGTGATTTCACTACGTAGGAAAGAGTCGGGGGGAGTTTAAAACCGGACAAAACTGATGTAATAAACATACTGTAAAGGTTTAATTAAATATGGTTGTTTTGTTGAATCTACTCGAGGACTATCTGCGCTAGCCATCCCTGATTTGGAAGTACTGGACTATAGAGAAGACAGCCGGTTAACACCACCCACCGCTAACTCTTTGGCTACTCTTTTAATAATGAAAAAATCGGATTGACCAGCACATTATAACGTCCCCAAAGCTTAAATGGTGTGTTCGGTGTGGGGGTTCGAACCCACAACCCGCAGATTGCGAGTCGAGCCCCATAATCACCGGGTCATTTAAGTACAGGTATGATAACTACCTAAAAATTAAAATGTTGGGCCAGTGTTCGTATTTCAGTAAACACAACGTTTCTGCAAGATAACTCAATTTAAAGAATTGTGCTTTCGAAAAAGAAAGAAGAAGTAGGGGGGAAATGGTAAAAGGAATTTTTGGACTCCAAAATTATGTACCAGTTTTGTATTTTGTCCTCAAGATAAGAATTACGAAGATCAAAAAGCGTTTTTTGTATATATGTGTTTGTGTGAAAATGTATGACTTTTAGTTAGATATTATGAAGTTTAAAAAAACAAAAACGAATAATTCATTCCCGTTTACACACAACTACAATGAAATATATGGAAAAAATTGGTGTTTCTTGTTTCGAGTTTGTTTGTTTTTTTCTAATAAAGGATAATACCATTCTGCAATGTGCAACATTAAATTTATAATGTTTCTAAATTCCTCATATTAGTTTGGTTTTTTATGAATTTCGCGCAAAACTACACGAGGGCTATCTGCACTAGCCGTCCCTAATTTAGCAGTGTAAGACTAGAGGGAAGGCAACTAGTCATCACCACCCACCGCCAACTCTTGGGCTATACTTTTACCAACGAAAATTGCGATTGACTATCACGTTACGACGCCTCCACTGCT